TTACCAATTTTACCCTTTTCCACCATCGCGTCGCCTCTCTGTGTCTCTCTCTGGGAAATTTTCTTGCAGGTAGAGGAGCAGGAAGAAGGAGAAACACAATAGTGGGTGTGAACAACAAACAAACCTCATCTCTCCTCTTCTAACCCATTACAAATTTGGAGATATAAGGGAAAAAGTAAAGAGAGGTGGGAGCTCTGTGTGCTAGCTAATTGTTCCTGGGTGTGAATTTGCAAAGCCAAAAGTCTTACGTATTTCACACTTCTCATTTCTTTTACTAGTCTATCTTAAGTTACCCAGACCGCGGACGACGACGATGAACCCAACACTCCTCTCTATCTCTGTGTCTTCCCGCGACTCCACTGCCACAAGTCCACTCTAAGGTCTGCGTGCGCACTCGCTACTTGACTAAAATTTCTCCACTTTTTTTATAGTCTCGTTCTTATGGTGTGCATTTGGGTCTTTCTTCCGCGTGTTTACTTATCTGGGTATCTCTCCAACTTGCAGTGAAACCATTCTGCGGTAATGGAATCTGGGGTCCAGAGAATTCTCGGGGAAGCAACTTTCGATCAGAATAGGGTTCTCGTCCCATTACCGTAGCTTAAGCTCAACAGGGTTTATATAAACTTTCTTCCTTGTGCAGCAGATCTGGTGGTATTCTGGATTTTCATGGGAGCTTCCATGGTTTTCTTGTTGTTAGTAGTTTAAGGATTTCGCTGGGTGTCGATTACTGATTAGTAGCCTCTTCTCCCTCTTTTTTTGGGGGGGAATTGGAATGGAGGAAGTTGAGGAGGCCAACAGGGAAGCTATAGAGAGCTGCAATAGGGTTTTGAATTTGCTATCCCAGCCCCAAGATCAAGTCCACTACAGGAATTTGATGGTGGAAACTGGGGATGCCGTGTTTAAGTTCAAGAAAGTCGTTTCTCTTCTCAATACTGGTTTAGGTCATGCTAGGGTCCGGAAAGTCCAGGCATTCCCTACTGCTGCTTTGTCCAATAACAACATTTTCTTGGATAATCCAATTCATCGACCCGCAGATCAGTCGCCACTGCCTTCCAAGGGTCGCCAGTTTCTACAATCCAGTGGCTACCTTGAAACCCATCATCCCATTCAAGAAATGGGTTCAACAGCTAAGACAGCCTTGTGCTTGGGAAACCCTTCTTTGGAGTTGAGCTCAAATGGGAAAACCCCACTCAATGTGGCTCAACAAACAGCATCTGCACATTATCACTTCCTTCAGCAGCAGCAGCAGCAGCAGCAGCAACAGCAGCTACAAAGGCTGCAACTCCAACAGCGGCAGCAGCAAATTAAGCAGCAGGCTGAAATGATGTTTCGGAGGAGTAATATTGGGATAAACCTGAATTTCGATAGTTCTAGCTGCACGCCTACCATGTCTTCCACTAGATCTTTCATGTCTTCCTTGAGCATAGATGGTAGTGTAGCTAACATGGAAGGTAGTGCATCATTCCATTTGACTGGTGCACCCCGGTCTTCAGACCAGAGTTCGCAGCAGCAGCATCACAAGAGGAAGTGTTCTGCTAGGGGTGAAGACGGAAGTGTGAAATGTGGAAGCAGTGGCAGGTGCCATTGTTCTAAGAAGAGGTAAAGGTTTTGACATTTATTCTTTGCTCAACTCTAGTCAATAAGCTACCTTTGCATGCCTCTCCTCTTATGATGAAATTTGAATGTGCCTACTAACAACTGTTGCTCCTTTTTGCCAATGCTTTACTCACAGGAAACATAGGGTGAAGAGGTCCATCAAGGTACCTGCAATTAGCAACAAGCTTGCAGATATTCCCCCTGACGATTATTCGTGGAGAAAGTATGGGCAGAAGCCAATAAAGGGCTCTCCTCATCCTAGGTACATAATGTTAAATTGAAGGATATCTGCTTTGGATGAGTGCTTCTAAATACTTCTGCTGATATTTTGGTTCCATTTATATTTTATAGCTCTGCTTCATTTGCATAGCTTCTCAATCTATGCATGCCTATGCCTGCTGAGCCAACTTCTTTTAGATTGCTCATTGATGTCATAGTGCTGTATTTGGTGGCTACACGACACCTTTCTGCTTAGATAGGTGTTGGGAAGTAGTCTCATGTCAATTATATGCCCGGCAGCATCAATCATATGGTTCAGCTATTGCCAAACCTTCGCTTATGTAATGTAAACTTCTGTCATCATATAAGTGAGAATAAAACATGGATGACTCGGTATTCTGTTGTGCATGAAAAGTGAATTTTGTGATGGGCCTGTAGCTCGAGAATCACTGTTGTTCTCAGTTGGCTGATGATCTGAAATCCCTTACATCGTATCGTGTTGCAGGGGATACTACAAGTGCAGCAGCATGAGAGGTTGTCCAGCGAGAAAGCACGTCGAGAGATGCCTGGAAGAACCATCGATGCTCATTGTTACGTACGAAGGCGAACATAACCACCCTAGGGTGCAATCACAATCCGCAAATACATAGGAGGGAAGGAATCACAAGGAGCATAACTTACTGGGAAACGGTTACATAATTCGGCCTTGTCCATGCCGCGGCCTGGTGATGGTCAGCAGGGGAGTTTTCCTTGTTTGTTTTGGGAGGGAGTGGCTGGCTGTTTGGAGAATTGGTCTCTCCTACTAGCATTGCGTGTTTAGATCCAAATTCACCGGCTGCAACCTTGGCCGTCTTGTGAAGCTAGAAACTGAAAGCAGATAGATCGATCGTGGGGTCTCGAAACTGTAGGGAAGTCATTTTTCTTTCCATCTATGTCATCTTCTATTATCAGAGTTGTTCAAAACAGCTGGCCGGAACGATTGATTGAGGGCTTCTTGTGATATCGCTTGCTAGTGAAAGTATTGATTAGTGACGTTAAGTCATGGTTCATGGAGATCAATCTCAGTCAGAAACGCATGGGGATTCATTCTATTGCACTATATTCTAATACAAAAACGCCAGTAGTTCAGTAAGAGTCGAGGTGATTTTAAATGGGAATTGGAGGGTGAAATTCACCATCACAGTTGGTTGAAGTTTTGTTCTGCGTTGGGCTGGTTTGTTGCCACCATTGTTCATGTATTCGAGAGCAATGGCACATAGAAATTTCATTCGTTATGGTAATGGTAATGGTCCGCCTGGTCCCGGAAATAACGTGGAATTGAGGTCAAGAGAAGTAGTTGTAATGGCGAACGATGAATGGGGACGGATCGGTGGAGGTGCCGAAATCTGATAACGACTCCAACGACTTGGGCACAAATTGGGTTGGAGGCGGTTTTCCAACAACAACAACGACAACAACTAGTAGGTGTTTGCTTCTTGCCTACCTTGGATTCGTCGGTCGGTCGGTCGGTCGAACTCCCAAGTGTTCCTCTTCTGCTGATCTGCACTTGAACTTGGTCTTCGGCCGATCGAGTTGAAGGAGAAAACAACAAGGGGGGTTTTTCAATATTATTGTTAATGATTGTCACCCAAAATTTGATTCTTGTTCAAATTGGGACGGCTGCTGTTTTGACGCTAAACTTAATTCTTAATTCTTTTTGGGTCGTGCATGGCGGAGGAGATTCTAATAAGAATGAAGGTGCAAGCTTCTATTAATTAATTAATTAATTTCCACCTGACTATCGTTTTCCTCATGACTTCTTCTAGTCGGAAAAGTTGTCAACACATCACCCAACGTCCCAACCAATATACTTATTCTGCACCAATCTGTGGTAGCGTCGGGTTAGAAGCCAGGTTTCTGCTAAATTCAGGTACCTTGGCGGCAAAGCAGAGTAGTAAGAAGAAGATGATGAAGGGTTTTTGATGGGTGGAGCGGGGGAGATTTGCAGAGGGGATTATGGCGATCGGTGGCGGTGAGTTCAGTGATCGGTTTCTTCGAAAGAGAAAGGGATTTGCGGCGGAGCGCAATGGAAGCAGAAACACCACTGTTATTGGCAGCTGAGCAGACCGTACGTCTTCCGTTTATCACCTCTTATTCCTTTAGCCTGAACGATCGTTGATGCCAATACACCGCCTTATTCTTGAACGGTTCAACAGCAGTCTCCAACTAATTAATTCGTGGGAACCTTTTGATTCCACCGCTGTGAACGGGAACCGATAAATGGTAGGATTCGTAACATTCCATAAATCCATAATGAGATTTTACCCATTAGCTCTTTAAATTCCAAATTTGTCTTCACATTTACCTATTATGTACTATAAATATTTAATTAATTAACAACAAAGAAATAGTATAAATATTCTATTAATGTGCAAACATGAGTTACATTTTATACCCTTTCTTGTGTTCTAGTTTCCTTTTAACTTTTCATGAAACATTCAATTTTTTGTTTCCCTGTTTTAATATATGTTCCAATGTGTTACTTTTGAAAAGGAAGACAAAGAATTGATAACCAATATATGTTAAGTTAAATGTTAAACAAAAAAATTCCTATTATTAATATTGTCATTGTAACTAGGGCTGGAAGTTTGGTACCAGTATTTGGGATATACCGAATACCGTACCAAATTTGTCTATATTTGTTATTGCCGAATACACGTATTATTTTGTGGGATTTGGATTACGACTGAGTTTCAATTGTTATTCGGTATTAGGGATTACGAGATTGGGATCGGTATATACCGAAATACCGATCAATACCGAAATATAAGCTAGTGTGTATTTTATCCTCTCAACTATACTCTCTCATTCATTACTACGCGACCCTCAACCACCAAAAGTGTCATTTAATTATACATAGATTATTACATCACTATTTCACACTAGTATTAGTCGTCTCTCAACCTCAAATTCATCAAATTAAAGATTACCAATTACAAAAAGTTGAGATGTTAGCTCTAGGCAACTTAAGAATCTTTGCTTAGTCTCTTTGCCCTGAATTATACAATAAAATCTAATTTATATATTTAATTATTAATGACAAACATAATTAATTTTGTATTTGATAATACCGATTGGGATACCAAAATATTTAGAAATTGGGATTAGGATACCGAAATTATTTAGGTATTGGGAATGTGATTGATTTCAGAGTGTAATTCGGTATTCGGGATTTCGATATTTGGTATTGGGAAACCAATACCGATTTCCACCCCTAATTGTGGCAACATTATCCTTACTAGTACATATTTTAATTTTTAAATTCTAGATCCCAAACCTTTAAATTACAAAACCCTCACTTTTAAATTTATGAAACAAACGAACCCTAAAGAGCAAGGATCCTCCGGACCAAAAATTTCGATAATCAAATATTTAGAGTAGCATACGCCAGCGAAACGAACAAAATATTATTAGGGAAGGAGTCAATCTAGATCCAAGAAACAGAACACCATCTCCGCTGCCAACGAATAACTTCACTTGAGAGGAATAAACCTGGAAGAGTGAGTAGCACCAATACCAGGTCTTCCATGCTTCACAGGCTTGTAACTGATCGAGAACTCGGCTAGATAATGGCCAATCATCTCAGGCTTTATCTCCACTTGGTTGAAAGTCTTACCATTGTACACACCAATAACGCTACCGATCATCTCTGGGACTATGATCATGTTGCGCAGGTGAGTCCTAACTGGTTCAGGTTTCTCATCAGCTGGAGCCTCCCGTTTCTGAATGCCACAACAGAGATACACAAACCAATCAGACAATGGGAAAACGCCATTTATACATGTAAGGTCTGGTTTCTTTTTATCGCCAACAAATGACGGACAATGCTGATAAGAAAAGGATTTCACAAATATCATGAAAATTATTGCCAAACTGGAATAGCCTGGACAAGATGTTGGTGGGTTGAGTAACATGCATTATCCAAGCTTAACGAAATGAAGAGAGTCATGCATAAACTGTTTTCACTCGGAATAAATAAATCAAGAGAAATCCTCAGCTATTCACGTTTCCCAGAAGTTACAAAGGATCACAAATCTTCCAGGTAAACTAATAAGCTAAAGTAATTTCCCATAGGTTGAACTACAAGATCTTTCTCTGTTAGTTTTTGAAATTACTCAAAAACCAATTTTATAGGGCTCAAAACCCCTTAACGGTGTAAGATTGCTGGTGGAAAATCAGGACTGGATGGAACAAAATTCTTCATTACAAACAGATGTCAAACAGAATTGTGATAGTTTATGACTTGATGATCCAATGCTGGGATTCTAGAGAATACTAACATCCCTAGAATCACAATGGACTGGACGGAAAATCGGTAATCAATCATGTGGCAATGGAACGTCTAGTTACTTGCTACGACATCTGCCCAAAGTGTTGAACAACAGCATACATGGCAGCATGTAGGTACCGTATAACCAGAATCACATTTGATGCAAGTCTAGTTAATTGGTAATAAATTTGAATACTAAACATCACAGAGAAGAGCAACAGTCAACTGGCTATTCTGGATTCGCATTTTCCAAAATCACAAATGCTGAAAGGCTAGAGAAGCCTTAAAGCAAAACCTAGCAAGGGACATGCAAGAACTAAAAGCCTTACCGCTTTTCGGAGCTTCTTGATGAGGGCCATTGGTTTCCTAGTCAAACCTCGCTGGAACCTGGGCACAAAGCAATAGATTGTTACGATTCAGGGGAGGAAAAAAAGAAAAAAAAAACAACGCCATCTTGTGAATTGCCGATAGCAAAGCGATTGATTATTGGAAAATCATGTCACCTTCTTCGAGCACGAGCTGTAAAGAGCTTGACGAGGTCATCAGTGGACATATCCAAGAGAGCATCCAAATCAACTCCCCTGAAACTGAACTTCTTGAACGTCCTCTTCTTAGGCTGTTCTGGAACGGCAACATCGGCTTCAACGTCGGCCTGAAATCCCCACGGAGAATGAAAACCAATCGGAGGGTTAGACCATTGCTTAAGAACATAATCATGATTTCCTGTTCAGCTTGAAGCATGGATTTGGGTGAAGAAATTGTCAAGAAAGGCGAACAATGTCCAGCAAGTTTAAAGCATGAGCAGCAGTAGGGAAGAAATGGAGTTCTCACCATGGCTTCAGACTTGCGGAAAATGGGAAGAATTCGGGCAGCTCGCTGGTTCGTCGGCGCGAGATTTCCTCCGATGTTTAGGGTTAGGATGGTAGTAGCTGCAGTTTTATAGCTAAGCTAATATAAACCCGATGGATCATGGATGGCGGGCTTCTTTTGTCTTTGGGCTGAAAAGCCTAGCGAAACTTAGCTGGACCTAGGGATGGCAATGGGGCGGGTTTGCCTAAACCATCCCCATCCCCATCTTCAAATACCCAAACCTATATCCGCCTCATACCCATGCGGGGGAATGTTTTGCAAACCCATCCCCATACCCGTGGGTTTCGGGTACCCATGGGTAATACCCATCCCCGTACATCCAACATTATTATACCTAAAACTTACAAGAAAAGTTTTAATTATAACCATAAACAAACCTATTATATCACGAAGTCAACAAAACACGGTCATTTTCTAAATACGATTCAAAGAATATGATCCTAAAACATCCATTAATACATAATATAGACTATAATATTTTTTAAATTATTATGCTCTAACTCTTGATACATTTACTAAGTAATAATTAACTAACATAATTTTGTTGACAAGGGGGAAATAAAAGAGTGGAAGGAGAATTGAGGGAAATGAATTAGGTTTTGATTAAGGTGGTTACTCAATTGCATTTCTACTATTTATTTTCTCGAGTTATCATCATCATCATTGATAGATTACAATTTAATCCATGTATTTTTTTATATGTGAAGAAATTCTCTTGGTGGGGCGGGTATGGGGCGGGGGAGGCTAAAACCATACCCGCCCCATACCCATCAAACATTTTGCGGGTTTTACCCATACCCGCCCCATACCCGGTCAAAGCGGGGATTCCCCGCGTTGACTGGGTATGGGGCGGTCGGGTACCCGCGGCCATGGGTTTGATTGCCATCCCTAGCTGGACCGAAGCATACTTACTACCAGATTTTAACTTGTTGTTTTCAAAGATAATGAAACTTAAACGCGGCAGTCATTAGTAATCGACATGCCGAAAAAAGAGCTATTTTTGTCATGCAATGGATGTAGCTCCTCTGTGACAAGAAAAGCTTCTTCTTCGACCTGTCCCTGTAAATCTCCATACCCAAGATCTTCTGAGCAGCTCCCAAATCCTTCATCTCAAACTCAGCACTGAGAAGCCCCTTTAACTTCTGGATATCAGACTTCGACCTTGCAGCTATGAGCATATCATCTACATACAGAACTAGATATATCATCGAACCATCCTCTGCCTTGCTGTGATATACACAACAATCATATGGACTTCTGTTGTAGCCCAGCTCAAGCATGTAACTGTCAAATCTCTTGTACCACTGCCTCGGAGATTGCTTAAGCCCATACAAGGACTTCTTCAACTTACAAACATAGTCTTCTTTTCCTGGAACCTCGAATCCTTCTGGCTGAGTCATGTAAATTTTTTCCTCCAACTCTCCATGTAGGAAAGCTGTCTTCACGTCTAGCTGCTCGAGCTCCAAGTCATAATGTGCCACTATTGCTAGTAGCACTCTGATCGAAGTATGTCTGACCACTGGTGAGAAAATCTCATTGTAGTCAACTCCTTCCCTCTGCGAGAAGCCTCGTGCAACCACCCGAGCTTTAAATTTCATGCCCTCTTTAGAAGTGATTCCTTCCTTCTTCTTGTAGATCCACTTGTTTGTAACAATCTTCCTTCCCTGTGGTCGTTTGACTAGCTCCCAAGTCTGATTCCTGTCATGAGATTCCATCTCATCTCCCATTGCGGCAAGCCACTGATCAGCTTCACCACCCGAAACTGCTTCTTTATAGGACTGTGGCTCTCCTGCATCCACTTCTTCAGCAACCTGAAATGAATACGCCACCATGTCCTCGAAGCCATACCTCTGTGGAGGTACTCCTGCAGTCGCTCTCTTCGGTCTACCGGAAGCAATAGACTGTTTAGCTCGTGCACTGGACTCTGAAGTTTCTGGCTCTGCAGGGACATCCTCATCATGTTGATCTTCTCCACCTTGGTGCTCAAACTCACTCTCATTGAGAGTTTGCAGCTCCACCTGCTTATCAACATTCCTGCTACCTTCAACAACAGTAACCTTCAACATGGGGTTAAACATAGACTTCTCATCAAATATCACATTTATACTAAGTATAACTCGATGCTCAGAAGGTGACCAGACTCGAAATCCCTTAACTCCATCTCCGTAACCCACAAATACACCCTTCTTTGCCCTTGGGTTCAGTTTACCCTCATCCACGTGATAATAAACAGGACACCCAAAAAATTTCAGTGAAGAGTAATCAGCAGGCTTACCATACCACACTTCATAAGGAGTCTTACACTCGATACCTGTGTGAGGTCCACGGTTGATCAGGAAGCACGCCATGTTCACTGCTTCTGCCCAGAATCTTCTCTCTAGTCCAGCATTAGAGAGCATGCACCGTACTCTCTCCAACAATGTCTGGTTCATCCTTTCTGCAACGCCATTCTGCTGGGGTGTATCTCTAACAGTCCGATGACGGGCAATCCCTTCATCCTTGCAGAATTCGTTGAACTCAGAACTGCAGAACTCCAGACCATTGTCCGTTCGCAGCTTCTTGATCTTCTTACCGGTCTGATTCTCCACCAATGTCTTCCACTGCTTGAACTTCGTGAAAGCCTCACTTTTCTGCTTCATCATGAAAATCCAAGTAAACCTCGAATAATCATCAATAATAGACAGAAAATACCTGCTGCCTCCAATGGATTCAACTCGTGAAGGACCCCAACAGTCGGAGTGGAGGTAATCCAGTATCCCCTTCGTCCGGTGGATACCCTTCTTGGGAAACTTGCTGCGATGTAGCTTCCCAAACACACAATGCTCACAAAATTCCAAATTCTGCACCTTGTGCCCGCAAAGAAGATCCCTCTTCGATAGAACTTGCATCCCCCGTTCACTCATATGCCCCAGTCTCATGTGCCAGAGAGTGGTCATATCTTCCTGTTGAACCTGAGATGATGCAACTGCAGCAGAACCAGACAACACAGACCCTTGTAATGCATACAAGGTCCCACGCTTCACGCCCTTCAGTACCTTCCTCGAACCCTTGCAGACATACACAACTCCACCTTTTCCTTTGAAGCTGAAACCCTTGCTGTCGAGTAGACTCAAGGAGATCAGGTTCTTTGTCATTCGTGGAACATGCCTGACATCATTCACGGTACAGAACGAACCATCATGTGTCCGAACCTTTATGGACCCGATTCCAACAACCTTGCAGAGAGCTCCATTAGCCATGACCACGTTACCACCATCTATCTGCTCGTAGGTTGTGAAGCAATCCCTGTTCGGAGACATATGATATGAGGCTGCAGTATCCAGAAACCACACATCACCACGATGTGCCTTCTCATCTACAGCCAAGGCGAGATCGTCTTCAGAACTGTTGTCCACTTCTGCCACGGCAACTGAACCTTGTTTCTTCTGTTGCCCTCTTCTCTTGGGACAGTTGTACTTCCAATGCCCCACTTCCTTACAGTTGTGACAAGCATCACCTGGCTGTGGACTGGGACCCTTGAAATTCTTGCTCGAATTCCCTTTTCCAGATTTCTTCTTTCCCTTTCCACCTGTAACAGCCAAACCCGATGCCTCCCCACCTGTACCAGATCCGGACGCCTTATGTCTGATCTCTCTCGTATGAAGAGCAGACCTGACATCCTCCAACGACACGCTTTCTTTACCAGCAGTAAAAGAATCAACGAAATTCTCATATGAACTCGGCAAAGAAACCAGCAGGATTAGGGCACCATCCTCGTCATCAACTTGAACATCTATATTACGCAGATCCAGCAAAATAGAGTTAAGTTGTTCGAGATGTTCCCTCAAAGGCGTACCTTCTTGCATCCTCAAGCTGAACAACCGTTGCTTGAGATGCAGCTTGTTGGTTAGAGACTTAGTCATGTACAGACTCTCTAGTTTCAACCACAAGCCCGCGGCAGTCTTCTCAGCAGCGACTTCAATGATGACGTCATCAGACAACGATAGCATGATGGTCGAGTGGGCCTTCTCCTCCAGGGTGTTCCACTCATCGTCATCGACCGCTGCCTTCTTCTGTTTCGCAGACAGCGGCCCCCACAGCCCTTGCTGTTTTAGTAAAGCCTGCATCTTGATCTGCCATATAGCGAAGCTGTTCTTCCCCGTGAACTTTTCGATCTTCATGTTCACCGACGTCATTCTTCTGAATCGAAAACCCTAGCCTGATTTCCAGCCGCGACTCTGATACCACTTGTTATAAACGCGCTGCTACGGATCGGGAAATCGCCGGGATCGACAAAGCAAGAATACGAAAGCGAGAATCGAAAACACGACACACGATTTACGTGGTTCACTAACACGATGTGTGTTAGCTACGTCCACGGGCGAGAGAGAGCCGATTTCACTATATCGAGGAGATTACAGATTACAGAGGAGTATGAGAAGTATTTATAGTACTTCTCCATGTGGGTCTAAACCTAATCCAATCTAGCAAAGGAAACGGTTACAGACCAGGCCCAGAACCCGAACCCAAATAACATTGAGCCCATACACCGTGGGCCGGGGGCGTTGCCCCTGGACCCCACTCGCTGACCGGGCAGCGAGACCCCCGATTACCAGTCGTAGCGGCTGATAATCCGATTCAAGTCATATCAACAGTTTTAGAACCTTGACACTAACTGTCATTTACGACTTTGAACATGGTGTACCACAAGATACCACCTCCATACCAGGGTGGTTGACTCACACGAAACAACACCACAATAAAATCCCAACAAGAGCCCAAGTTTTTAAACTCTAGTCGGGTGCAGTACAGGGCAAGTATTTAGATATCGACCAGGGCCAGTCCGTCTACCCCTACTTCAGTTGTTGAAATCATTATCTAGCGACAAAGGTTTGGTTTAAAGGTTTGCTAATTGAAATGAAAGAAAGCAAAGGTAAATGGTTTTGATAACTCTTTTGTGGAAAGATCACTCGGGTGTCGCTCCCCCCTAACTGCTACCACGCTACGTGGATTGGAACGATTGCTTTGGGCACGATAACCACGAACCGCAGAGGGATGCATATGTGGTCGGAGACCACAATCTCAATTGCTAAACTGAGGTAGCATGAAAGGCCGTGTCACTCGACCCTCTCGGTTTAGACAATCGGTAGTTGACTTACTCC